CTTTTCCATGCCCTTCTTTTTGCCCCAAGGTGGAGCTCAGTTGCCCCAAAGAGATGGCATGGAAAGTCAACATGTATCGGGGATATTTGGCCATTTGCCACCCTGACGAGCAGCAGCTGAATTTCATCGAGCGCCTGGTGGAAATGGCCAGCGGGTTGGCCATCCGAGAATGGCGAAGACTTCCACAGGTGGTTTCTCATGTCCACACCCCACTTCTTCAGGTAAGACAGACCGATCTCCGGAGACTCTCGAGCGTTAGACTCCAAAACCCACGAGACACATGCTAAGCTACTTCTAAGCAGCCTCTTTTATTGTTCCTCACCTATAGACAGAATCTTGCCGAATTAAAACAGACTACTTGCTCCAGAAAACATAGACTCTGGGAACTGTTGAGGAGGAGCTGTCTTCGTCCTCTTTCTCATACACAGCATTGTCTCTTGCTTCTCTGTGAATGCAGCTTCTCCCTCCCGGGAATCCAGACCACATTCCACCGCACCCAGTCTTTGGCAGGCTATCATTTGAACTACGAAACAAGAGTGAATAACGAAACACGGAGGATTTTTGTCCCAAATTTTGGAAAAGTTATTCTGGGATAAGTCAACCTCCTCTTAACCAGATGACAAAAGCGTACACGGAGCAGGGCTTCTGAAATGTGCAGGCTCTTGATTGGTAGCTGAGTGGGTTCTTCGACAAACTTTGGCTCAACCAATGGCGGCTAGGAGCGATGTGGATGACCTCAATCATCTCCTCATTATTAGATTGCTTAGGTGGGCTGTGAATGGCAAGTTAGCAACATGGCAATAAAGCTACTCAGCAGTAATTACTTTTTCCCCCCTAGATCAGATAGTGGGTGATTAAGCACCTGCTTGAAAATTAAATTTATATGATGAATGGGGTAGGAAGAAGGTGAAGCTCTTGTGAGAGCTGATACTGTGGCAATTACGGGTGAGTGGGAGAAGGGAGGTCACTTGGCTTAATTTATTTTATTTTCAGAGATTGTGCCAGAAGTCTAGCCCAACTTTTGGGGGTCCGAGAGACGCTTCCTCAGTTGATGAATAGCTCCTACAAGTGTTATCTTTCTCGGAGGAGGTCTTGCAAATGGCTTGTATCAGTTTACTGTCTCTGTGGGATTTGAATTCCAGCAGTGTTCATATGTCTGCTGGAACTTAAAACTCCCTGCGGTGTAGAATCTCTCTCTCTCTCTCTCTCTGTGTATCTTTGAAACAGCGAGGGAAATATTGTCGATTTCTGTGCCTAGTAAGTAAAGTTAGTCCTCAACCTGTGGCCTTAATGGACAGACTCTGTTATAGTTGCAACTTGAGGACTAGCTGCATTGGAATGTATTGATATGTGTATGAAGTAAGGAAATAGGACGTAGAATATAGAAAATATAGAACATACAGTGATAAATAAGTTATCTTCCTCCTCCTCCTCCTTTTTCTCTTCCTCCTTCATTTCCTCCTCTTCTTCCTCTTTTTTCTCTTCCTCCCTCTTCTTCCTCTTTCTTCTTTCCTCTCCCCTTCTTCCTCTTCCTTCTTTTCCTCCTCTTCCTCCTCCTTCTTTACTCTCCCCTTCCTCTTCCTCCTCCTCCTCCTCCTTTCTTGCCACCTTCCTCTTCCTCCTTTTCCTCCTCCTTCCTCCTTTCCTCTCCCCTTCCTCTTCCTCTTCCTCCTCTTCCTCCTCCTCCTTCCTCCTTTACTCTCCCCTTCCCCTTCCTCTTTGTCCTATTCTTCTTCTTTCTTGCCGCCTTCCTCTTCCTCCTCCTCTTCTTCATCCTTTCCTCCCGCCTTTCTCTTCCTCCTCTTCCTCTTCCTCCTCCTCCTTTCTTCGCACCTTCCTCTTCCTTCTCCTCTTCCTCCTCCCGCTCTTCCTCTACCTCACCCCCAGGCTGCCCAGCAGATCATTGAACTCCAAGAGGCTGCCCAAATCAACGCAGGGTTGCAACCGGCCAACCTCGGGCGGAACAACAGCCTCCACGACATGAAAACCGTGGTGAAGACCTGGAGGAACCGGCTGCCCATCGTGTCAGACGACCTGTCTCACTGGAGCAGCATCTTCATGTGGCGGCAGCATCATTATCAAGGTGAGATCCTCTCCTCGGACGGGATTCTTTTCCTAAGACGTCTGGCATCTCTGCCTGTTTGGGAAGCTGAAAGAAAACACGGCATGCGTTGATGACCTTCGTAGCAGCCCAGGGTCACCCGATCGCCGTTTGCCATTTTTCCAGCCGGCTTTCGACAGACCAAGTCAGTGGGGGACACCGGATTTGCTTAATGACACTGTGATTGACTGAACAGCTGCAGCGACTTGCTTAACGACCAAAATGGTCGTAAAATTGGGTGTGGCTCCCATAACCCTCTTGCTTAGCAACGGGAATTCTGGGACCGATTCTGACTAGCGGTAGATGCTTATATTCCGTCAACACCCAGCTCGAGGATCCAGATAAATCACCAGGTTCATTCTGTTTCCGGAAAAACCTTACTGTTCGTTGAATACACGGCATGGTCCTGTCAAAGCAAAAATTCTAACTCTGCGGTTCCCAGACACCATCTCATAGAATTGTTTAATTCTAATCTCTCTCCCCCCCCCACCCTCTCACGAAGTCTCTGTAAACAATTTCACTTTGTTATGGGAACCGTCTGCTTCTCCTCCACATCTGCTGCAGTGTCCTTGGAAAGCTTTCAGGCTCTCAACGGTCTTCGGAGGAATTATAAAGGTTTTATTTCTCCGTCTAAACCAGGGGTAGGCAACCTTGGCTCTTTTATGACTCCTGGACTTCAACTCCCAGAATTCCTGAGCCAGCCATGCGTGCTGGCTCAGGAATTCTGGGAGTTGAAGTCCACGAGTCATAAAAGAACCAAGGTTGCTTACCCCTGCTCTAAACACTTCTAAAGCAATACCTACTCCCTCCCTCCCCCAAAACTCTAATGGCACGTTTGAAACCAACAGGCAGGCAGCTGCCAAAGTTTCATTCTTGACATATTCATTCTGTGTTGCACCATTATTTTTTTCCTAAAACTCCTCTCTTACCACTTTTCTAGCCATTGTAAGCGCCTACGAGAACAGCGCTCAACATGACCCAAGTTCGAACAACGCCATGTTGGGCGTTCACGCCTCGGCCTCTGCCATTATCCAGTACGGCAAGATTGCTCGGAAACAGGGCCTGGTCAACGTGGCCTTGGACATCCTGAGCCGCATTCACACCATACCGACGGTGCCCATTGTGGATTGCTTCCAGAAGATTCGACAGCAAGTGAAATGCTACCTCCAGCTCGCCGGGGTGATGGGCAAAAATGAATGCATGCAGGTATGGCAACCATCTTCTAGATAGGTGTTTCTCAACCATGGCAGCGTGGTCTTCAACTCCCAGAATCCCCCAGCCTGCATGCTTTAAGATATGTGGCCTTCAACTCCCAGAATTCCCCAGCCTGCATGCTTTAAGATGTGGACTTCAACTCCCAGAATCCCCCAGCCTGCATGCTTTAAGATGTGGCCTTCAACTCCCAGAATCCCCCAGCCTGCATGCTTTAAGATATGTGGACTTCAGCTCCCAGAATTCCCCAGCCTGTTTTTAGGTTGGTCCAAAGGTTCTTCAATATTTGGCAGTGTATCTAGGAATTCTCTCCTGGGAAGTCCCGCATTTTGAAACTTCTTAATTTATCTTTAGCTGATATATATGTATTTTTGAAAATCTTGTTGTTTCCAAATCTTTCCGATAGGGCCTGGAGGTGATCGAATCCACAAACCTGAAGTATTTCACCAAGGAAATGACCGCTGAATTCTATGCATTGAAGGGGATGTTTTTAGCACAGATTAACAAGTATGTATGTATGTATGTATGTATGTATGTATGTATGTTGGATGAAATGTGGCAGTAACCTCTGACTGTGTGTAAACAATACACAGGGATTCAGGGGTGAAGTTTTGTTTGGCTCTCTTAATTCTCAAAATTCTGTGTGCAAAGCAAGAACTTCAGTGTGGGCCTGGCTGAGGAATTCTGGGAATTGAAGTCCACAAGTCCTTAAAGGGCCAAGTTTGAAGACCCCTGGATTAAAAGATCTTTTGAAAAAAGCCAGCTCAGCTCTTGGTACACCCATTCCTCTTTCTTTCCATCTTGATGGAAAGACAACCCATCCTTCCTTTTTTTTTCACTTGAGGAGACCTCACAATCAAGCTGCAAGACCTTTCAGGGCCCGCTTCTAGGCGGTCAATTTTTCAGAATTTGTCCACAGTTGACCGGAAGCAAAGTTGAACGTGCAGACGGTGCTCTTTGCAGTCCTTGAAGACCAAAGACTTTAAAACTGGAGGGGAAAAAAAAATTACACTTGTTTGTCCACAACAACGCAGCTTAGCCTCACAGTGGCACAGGGTGGAAGTAATCCGTATCCTCTCCTGGGAAAGCAGAGAGTTTTAAATCAGGGAAAAGGCCAATTAGTTGAGCAGAAAAGTGCAATAACCTCTTTCTTTTTCAACCACCCCGTGAGCATCTTCAGATGTTTCCTCTGCAGAGGAAGTGTGGTTTAAATAATTTAGATGACTTGCCGGCTGTCAAGGATTGGGGCAAGATACAATCTTCAAACACGACTTTACCTTGTTGTCTTGTCAAAAGAGAGAGAGAGAGAGAGAGAGAGAGGGAGGGAGGGAGGGAGGGAGGGAGGGAGAAAAAGA